TAGCATGGGCCCTTTGCAACAATGACACAAATCTAGAAAAAGATTGTTCAAATCGAGGCCATCGTTTCACTTTTTTGAATTGATCATTATGTCAGAGAGTCATGAGAAACTTCCCTCTTATTCTCCCACTTCATTTCTTGCCGTGTTGGTAGATGTATCTGGCAAATATTCATTCCGTACATGCCAAAGTGGCACTCTCTTCGTGCCGTTTTTTCTCTCAAATGGAGGGATGAAGGACCTGGAAAATGGCTAGTGCGCTTGTTTGGGGCCAAACCCTCTGTGCTTTTCCTTAGCCCACTTGAGCTGTGCCCACGCAGGGGGAAACTGTTGCGAAATCAGGAACCCATGATTCCGCAGCCCTCAAAAGGACCTGAAAAATGGCTAGTGCGTTTGTTGGGGCCAAACCCTCTGGCTAGTGCGCTTGTTTGGGGCCAAACCCTCTGTGCTTTTCTTTAACCCACTTGAGCTGTGCCCACGCAGGGGGCAACTGTTGCGAAATCAGGAACCCATGATTCCGCAGCCCTCAAATGTCTCCACACGCACTGCTCCAAGGGATGAGAGGCAGGTGAAGGGGTGGTTGACATCATAGCAATTATCTTTTCCTAGTATAGGAGCCCTCGGATTTGACACTGAGAGTGTGTGGTGTGTGGTGCGGCTGGTGGTAAGGCTTTGGCTCTAAGGCGCCTGGGCAAGGCGTGGAGACTACGAATGAGGATGTCTAAAGTTTCATGTTCCCAATCATACAGTGTAAGGACTGTCAGCGAAGGTCGATCATGGGAGGGCAGGGCAGAGGCAACGCGAACATCACGTTGGTGTGGCCTTGCACGCCTCCCGTTCCTTGTGCGCCTCCCCTTTCCTCGTGCATCACTCAAATCCATACAGTGAGAAAGTCTAGTCGAAGCTGTAGTCGGTGAAACCAACTACCTTTTTTGTTCTTTCAGCGAACTCCCCGAGGCATGGCAGTTGTGAGGTTTGTACGAGAGGAATGCACAGTAGGAAATAAGGGCCTCGCCACACCACTGTCGAAACGAGAAAAGTACGAGCGCATCTTCCCGGGAAAGTGATCAGATGCATCTGTTACTATTCATAGTAATGGATGCATCTGGCCATTAATTGCAGGAACATGCAGTCGTACTTTTGTCGTTTTGACAGTGATGTGCCAAGGCCCTTATTTCCTACCGTGCATTCCTCTCGTACAGTGAAAACGATGGGATGTGTGACCCGTTAGAGACTGGGGAGGAAATGAAAACGATGGGATATGAACGGGCCTAGCTCAGTTGAACTGTGGAAATATGGACCTGAGTTGTTAGACTCCGGATGGAGCTGGATGAATGCAATAATATTGTTCTACATTATCTGGGATTGGCCATCGCCCTTTTAAACCACCAGTACATTCCCCATATTTCGGCCGTGGGCAGAAAGAAAACACTCCCGAAATGGAAAACGGGCCGCCGATTCAATTTATCAAAGGCGGCCCGATCCTGCTCGGCTTCTGCTTTACCCGGCGCGGAATCGATTTTCAAGACGGGAAAGGTATTGGTGGTTCGGTCTGCGCACCCGGCGCGGAATCGATTTTCAATACCGGAAAGGTATTGTTGGTTAGGGGGCATGCTCACACAAGGACGTTTTTTACAGTTGTCTGGATGTGGTTCCTGGAAGATACATCCAGTTCCGGCTGCAACGCAGTCACATACATTTAAGCCAGAGCTAGCGTGTGTACACACCCTAAGAAGAGAACAAAGAAAATACGACAATGGGATCTCATGGGTGGTGGCTAGTTAACAGGTAGGTGTCCCTGCTCTCTCCCTCTGACTTGAAAGAATCACAAGGTCAAGAAAAAGAATGGCTGGTAAAGACTTACCTGTCCGTTACGAGGCACTAGCTGTCCACTTCTTGACAACGGTACTGTTGCTAGTCGCTAGGGTAGGTGTAGGGATAGAGCGGAAGGTGAATGGAGAGGTTGATTCCTTTGGCACTGCGTGTCAGCTGTCGGAGGCGCAGACAAATTTCCTGTTTTGGTCTTCCAGTGGCAATGACTGCAGTCTGTTCACGGTTCGATGCTCCACTGGGTGGAGGTCTCGAATCCCTCATGGTCGCCCAGGATCTCAAGGGTCGACTCTTTCTCATATGGGGAGGCCACTGACCTCCTCACGTGTGCATTCTTATATGTGCGCATTCCTGTTGCTCTTTTCGGTATTTAGATGATGTAAAGGTTACAACCCGGCTAGTGGGCGTTGTGTTCTGGCCAGTGGCGTGGTGAATGAATAGATGGGAGCAGTGTGCGCTGGTGGAGTCCTAGAAGAGTTCGAGTAAAAAGAAACCCGGCTAGAATGAATGTTGCCTGAAAGATGCTGCTACCCAGCCCGTGTGGCTGACTGCTACAGCCATGTAGCTGTTGATAAATAGAACTGAGCTCAGATCCTTGTAGAATCACATCAACAAGAAAACTTTGAATTACCTGGACCCTCTCAGTTGAATGATGATACCTCAGGCTGCCGTAATTCTGCTCACAGATATGACTGTAATAGCGCTGAAGTTGGAAGGGATTGTCAGACAATGAATATATATGTTTTTCTTTCAAAGCTTTACTCTTATCTCAATTTACGTTTCACTCCCTACCTACCACTACTCCTTAGGCTATAGAGGGAGGCTCGGCAGGCGAACCTACCTTCCAATGAAGGGATGCATGTTGCCCGTTGCCAGGGTTGGGGGCTGCCAGTGGGGGCCCCGTCTAACATAAAAACCAAGAATTTTGCCACTAGCTGCGCCTCCCTTTTCATTTTCCCCCACCCGCATGGAGTGACAGTAGTAGTCTCTAGAGCAAACACTCCCCACATAATATGATGGAAGGGCGTAAACAGAGGTAGTCGAAAAAGAAAAAAAGATGTTCTTTCACATGGACAAGGGGCTCAGCTTTCTGTTTCAGGCCTTTCTGTTTGGAATGCAACAGAGGAAACTGAGTACAGGACAAAAACCACGATGAGAAACAGTGACGCAAAGCGGATGACCTCTTCTCGGAGTGACTGAACAGTCCACCGGTTTTGACTCTTTGGGGACAACGATCTGGATCATATTTCAATGGCTCAGCTTTCTGTTTGGAATGCAACAGAGGAAGCTGAGTACAAGACAAAAAACACGATGAGAAACAGTGAACGCAAAGCGGACGACCTCTTCTCGGAGTGACTGAACAGTCCACTGGTTTTGACTCTTTGGGGACAACGATCTGGATCGCATTTCAATGATATTTGTTGACATCGAGTAAATTTGCATTGCTCATCCAATGATGGAAATGTGATGTCGATGTAACGAGTTTGTCGCCATTTAAAATATAGCTTCAGAACAAAATGGCATGCAGTTTGGGGCGTTCCTCTGCTGCCTTCTTCAGCCGAACATAAAGCCCCATCATCATGGGCACGCATACAAACTGGTTCGGACTGATGCTGGGGTGGGCTAGGTCACACTTGAGGCAATTGATTGTGAGCCTTTTAGACCCCGTCAGTTCTCAGAGCTGAGAAAATGATGTGGTTCGGGTGCGAAGTCATCCTACTGCTAGTGGGCTGCCATCCAGAAACAAAGAATGTGTGGCAAGTGGACCTCTCCCCACACGAGCAGTGGACTCGTTGGTTCTCAAAGCCGTCAAAATGACTTCGCTCGGTTGTGAAGTCCTTCCTCTGTGATTGTACCTGGCTATTGGGCAGCCGGTCGTAAAAAACACAGCTTTGAGCAAATAACACATCCATGTGCAATGTGAAGTGCGTGTGACATGGTTCGTGTCGTGAAAGGACTACTTCCCTCCGCCCCTGCACCGAAAATGGAGTTACGAAAGCAAAAGTAGAGGAGCTCTCAGACATCAATTGTACAGGTGCATACTACTGCATGGAGACCTTCGCACAAAATCCAAGAGATGACACTGTCTTGCTTCCTTTTCGTCCCTTTCTTTGTCTGTCTTCTGTTTCATTTGTTGAAATGCTGACAGCAGGTGTGCAGATGCATGTTAAGGGGTGAAACCACATTGGCGGAGGTGTGAGTTTTGTCCTGCTGCTAGTGGGCCGACCCTGCTTATCGATGCCCATCTAATGAATGTTTAGAGAAACAGCTCGTATCTTCATCACAGGTCAAGAACACAGATTGGGGCGTCGGGCTTGTACGAGGAGTTTGATGATGTTGTACCCATCGCAGGCATGTCTCTGGCGAGGTCCCACATGCAAAGCCGCTGGACATGAATACCCAAACTGAACAGCAATCAGACAGGCACACTGTTGTACACTGACTTCGCTGTCAAGGGCATCAATTGACAATCGAAGAGTTAATGCTCTTGAAGAAACTGAACCTGGACAGAAAGAAAGTCACTGGACCATGGATTTGATGCCACCTTTTTGCTCTTTTCAAGCAGCCACAATTCCGAGTAACCTGAAAACCCAGGAGAACCCACAGCTGCAATCGCCTTTTCTGGCTTCATATATATCGTCAAACAGAACTGCCCGATAAAACGTCGGTAGGGAGGGAGAAGAGGACAAAAAACGAAGGCCTGTGACAAACTGTTTCGTCGGAGTTTCACCGACTCGTCAGGAGGCGGAACCCATGTGTGTGTGTGTGT